TGAAATGTTGGCACTATATTAAAAACAAATCAATATATGTATAAAAGTATCGCAAGCATCTGATTTGATTGGCTCAATCAATTTCGTATTTCATCAATTTCATAAAAAGATTCAAAAGATCCTTGGCGACAAATGTGAATTTCGTCATAAATAATTTCGTCAACCATTCTTATGATGTATTAAATTTGCCTTGCCCTTTTGTTTCATTATGCTGACATTATCTTGAATCATTTATTGACGGTTCATATATGGACGAGTCGTACATGGTATACCCAACTTTTCATGCAAAGGCTAATGTCTACTATGTAAATTTTTCTTGATGTGTAAATAGAAAATCTCAAAGATTTCGATTGTTATTCAAAGTGTATATAAACCAGGAGATCTAAATTCATATCAGTTAATTTGTTAAATATTTGGATTCAAAGTATTTAATTTTTTTACCACCGTGATGAGGGTTCGTTGTTAATAAGTTGGCGGAAGCAAATAAGGTTCATTAGAAATGAGATTCACTTATTAATTTATAATTATTGATTAATGACAAATTAAATTTTATTAAAAAAAAAAAAATAAATGAAAATAAAATTATTATTAGAAAATATAGAATGTAATAAAAATCATCAACATTTTCCTTTACTGCTATTATTATAAGTAAATAGTAAATGATTTTATTAGTAATTAATTATGATTAATAAATTTCAATTAATGAAAATTTAATTTACCTCATTAAAATCAACATTTAAAAGAATAACAGTTAAAATCAAGGTTATTTATACAACCTTTTTGATTTAGCAATTTCATCATCTAATATTCTACTTTTATAATATGCATTTGGATGTGATTTGTGTACTTGCTGTGGATCACTGCTGCTGTTGCTGCTGCTGCTATTATCATTATTAAAATTAATCTCTTTTTTTTTAATTTTAGAAAATTTGAATAATTTTTTTATTAAACTATTATTTTTTTTATTATTGTTGTTCAAATTTTTACTTTTAAAAATTTCATCTGATTTATTTCTAGCAAATCCACAAAGCTCTAGAATAGTTGGTCTTTTAGACGGATCTACATCCCAACACCTTTGCATCATTCGCGAATAATCATCAGGCATTCCTGGTAATACTGGTGGTCGTAAACCTTTACATATATCAAAAATTAAATGATGATTATGAGCTCTGTCATCAAATGGTGGATGGTCTGCAAATATTTCCCACATTAACATCCCAACGCTATAAATATCTGTTTGTTTTGTGTTCTTTGCATTATTTTTGCCTCGAAGTAGTTCAGGTGCAGTGTATGATATAATTCCATATATTTTATGTGTTGACTTTGCATCAACTGGCCCACATAATCCTAAATCTGTAATATAACAATTACCACCTTCCATTAATATATTGCCACTATGTAAATCACAATGAACTAATCTTTTTAAATGTATATCATATAATGCAGCACATAAATATTTAAAAATTGTAATTCTATCTTTTAGTGTTAAATTTAAATGATTTTTCTGTAAATAATCCCTTAAACTTCCATCTGATAAATAAATTGAAACCATTGTATAATTTCCATTATCTGGGAATTTAGTTATACCATAGCAAGTAACAATTGAATTTGATTTAATTTTACAATAGTTTATTGCCTGTAATTAAGTTTAAAACCAATTAGTATTATATAACACAATATTACTTATTTAGTTTTAAATAAAATCAATTACCTCATCAAAAAATGATTTACTTGGATTACTAGAATTATTTAAACATTTTAATACTACTGTTTGCCTTCCAGAATAACCAAATTCTTTTTTATTTTCATTGTAATCAATTATTCTTCCTCTTGTCCATACCGCAGTGTAAATTGTACTAAATCCACCTTCAGTTAATTTTTTAACATTTTGAAAATGATCATAAGGTATCCATTCTAAAATCAGAGTTGGCAAAGATAAGATAATTTGACATTGTTGAATAAAATAATCAACTATCTCATTTCCAGATGTCCAAGTGTTGAAAAGGCTCTGTAATTGTAAACTAATACACTTCTCACAGAATCTATTGGAGTATCTTGTTGATTTACATTTATTGCATTTTTTTGGTTTGCCCAATTTATTTCTTGCATTAAATAACTCAAAATCATAAATAAACTTTTCTTTACAATATTCTTTTTCATTTTTAGAAAGCTCCTTATTTTTTTTGACTAATGAAAAATAATAATCTTTTCTACTTTCTTTATCAGAATTAATCAGAGCATTGTTATACATTTCGTTATCAATCCTATATACAAATTCACTTCTTTCTGGTGATAATAATTTATTAAATGACATTGTATAAATTAAATGTGTTTGTGTAATTTAAGATAAAAAAATATCAAAATATCAAATTATTGAATTGATTAATTTATTGAATAGAATGAAGAAAACGGTGATTTTTTTTTTGAGAATAAGGTAATTTTACAAAAAAAATCGTTTTTTAAAAGGAAACAAAAAAAAATTTTAAATTCGTGTAACAAATATTAAAAACTATTTATAAATGGTTTAAATTTATTTTTGACATGTTTGATTAAAGGCATATGGTGGATCATTTTTGTCAATCCAAATTGCAAAAAGCAAAAGCGATCTTTTGATTAAATATCATTGGTTGAATTTTTGGATCTCTTGATGATAACAAATTTAAAATTGAAGCATCTCCAGGAATAGGTAAAATTTTATTCCGCAGATCCTCAAGAAAAAGCTTTTGATATGATGTAATTTACTATGAAAATCCTCGTTAAAATATCCCTGAATCTAATTAAGTTAATTAATTCTTTTGATGTGTGTTTCCTAAGTCAGAAATGACCAATCTTTAACGTATTACCCTTGTTGGTTTCTGGATGTTTTTCTAATCCCCATTTAATAACATTCTCCAATACTTCTATTTCTTTCAAAAAATTGATTTTCCGATAATTCAAATTCATTTGATTTAAATAATTTTCTGACAATTAAGTTCATTCGACTCAAGTAATTTCTCGCTATCAGCACAAATCTTCAATGCTTGCCACAATGAACTTTTCTTTTCGCCCAAACAGTGGAAAAAGAGGAAAAATTACATATGTGACTTCTGACTGTAAAAGATTATAAATTTAATTAATAATTTACCTGATAATTATATTAAAAACAAATTCATTGATATTTTCTATCTTGAAAACATAAAACCCATTTTCTTATTTTGCATTAGTTTTGAAAAAGGGACAATGTGCATAGAATGAACATGAAATTCTTTAATACCTGGTCTACCCCAATATTTCTTTTACGATTTCAATAAGTTCCTAATGTTATTTAACAATTCATTTTTTTATTTAGGGGGGTTTTTTAATAAAATCAAGGTTAACCTGTTGACCTATATATAATGTTCCTATTTATGGCAAACGTCAAATAAAATTATAAAGAATTCTCAAATTTTGATATCTCATTGTCAGATTAATAACAAGTTAACATGAATAATTGTTACAAAAGAAAATTGTCGAATAAATAAATCTTTGGCAGTTATTGAAACAAATCATTTGAATTATTATTTGAATAATTATAAATTTATATCAATGCAACAAAATACATGAGTGAACTTTAGGTACAAAGTATAATTCAAAAAATGCTGCATTATTTTAAAGATTTATAACTGTATTAAATAAATTTGAAATAATTTGAATTATCGTATAACGTTATATTATATATTCTTTTCGACTGAATACATAAAAATTTTTGTTTATTATTGAATATATGTCCAACTGAATTCACAAATAAAATATAAAATATAAAAAAAGTTTAATTAGAAAAAAATCGAAAAAAAATAATTGTAAGTTACTATCAGCACTATTTAAGGTGAACTATCATATTAATATTAACATTTAATATCTGTTATTACTGTTGTTGTATAGAAAATTTTGGAGATCTTGAAGTTGAGATGCTATGTAAATAAGTAGTAATAGTTGATCATTGTTTTGATCAATGAAATTATTCGCGATAATAGAATTTTGATGAGCATTTTGACCAACAAAATTATTGTCAAAATAATTGTTCAGATAATTAATGCTTGTAGTAATAGATGGGTTCTGGCCAATGATATCATTGTTATTATTGTTGTTTATTCCAGTGGAGCTTTGATCAACGAAACTATTGTCGACAATACACAAATTTTGGTTGGTGAAATTAATTTGCTGAATTAAATTACCGTCGCCAGAGTTTTGATCAATGTAATTATCTTCGACAGAGTTCTGGCTGTTTTGGTGACCGAAATTATTCTCTCCAGGGTTTTGATAAATATAAATATCGTCTCTAGTGTTTTGACGAATGTAACTATTGTCTCCAGTGTTTTGGTGAATGTAATTATTGTCTTCAGGGTTCTGATAAATGCAGTAATTATTGTAGTAGTGACCGGCGATTTGATTGTTATAATTATTAGGAACGAGGTTTTGATTATTAACATCAACATCATTCATATTAATAATACCAATATTATTGTTAGAATCAATATTATTATTAATATTATCAGAATAATTTCGATATATTTTTGTTTTTAGTTTTTTGTTATAATTATTATTAATTATTTTTTTTTTAAAAAAAAATTATTTTCATTTTCGAACTTATTTTTTATTATTTAAATAATTCGACGCTACACGAAAGATGTGATGAACGTTTAAATAATTTATCATCATACGTTTAAAGTTTAATTGATATTTTTTAATGTAGCCTAATTGAAAAAAGGATGATTCAACGGATCGTTAATTAACTATTCCATGAATTACACTGTTATATAAGTAATCTGGGCCATCTTTATTTTTTAACTTTTTTTTCTTTAAATAAATCAAAATAAATAAATGCTCGAGTGTTTGAAAAATAGAGTATTAAGGTTTTACGAATTGGGAATAAAATGAAAAGAAATAAATAAAAATTTCTCAATGGTAATGGAAAATGGTTAGAGATTGTGTGGTTGGCACTTGTTCGACTTCCCAAAAATGGGTCAAAAATGGGTTAAAAAATGTTGTTTGGATCAAATGATGGGATGATCCAATGTAAGATATAATGATGTAAAATATAAATGATGGGATGATCTGATGTGATTTATTTGTGATGGTTAGAGTGAGTGTTTTGCTTGAGGGTTTGGGACACCCTGAAACACACAACATTTCATTTTGCATCTTACATATGATTTGTATATTGTTTGTGAGTTATATAATAAGTAAATTAAAATAATACTTTTCCTTTGATAAAATAGTATATTACTATAACGAGTATAACGAATGCTTTACTAAAATTTTATTTAACCTTTTTTAAAAAATTTTGTAAACATTTCTAAAGAGTAAACGGAAAAAAAATGAATATCAATGATATTCATATTTCATTGCTATATAAGTTTAATAAATGATGACGACAAATATTGTCACAACAGATTTGTTTTGGTTGATGGATCTCTTGGATTTAAAAATGTCTACTCAATCGCTTCTGCATTCAATAATAACTCCTCACTAACATATAAACTTTAGAAACATGAAATAGGATACTTTTTATCGTGTAATTTGTTACCGAGATTTCCGTCTTTTTGTCCTTATCTTCTTTCGAAAAAGCATTGTATATTTGGCGCGAAATTTTGAACATGTTAGCGTGATTATCGTCGACATCTATCTTAATAACTTCATAGTCACCCACAACCTTCCCAGAAATGTTAAACATGGCATTACATTGCTAACGGCTAAGGCTCCTTCAGATCATTGATGGATATGTCGAGTTTGATTGCTTGATGAACTACTAACTAATAGATAATACGAGGGAGTGTATGTGAGGATATAATTAATTCATTGAAATATTATCATTAATCAAACAATTCGATTGGCCGCTTTCAGCAAAAAACCTACCTTATTCCGTACACAACCTTTGATTATAAATGAAATAAATATTCAGGCAATCTATTAAACATTTTGAATTCTAAAAAACCAAATTCTACATCATTTAACTGGAACACCACCTTCCAGAGATTGTCTCATTAGTTTTTGTAACGTTTTTTACTAATCCGACTAATCTGATTATGATAGGATTGAATTGATGACTTTTTTTTTGTGAACAAAAAAGATGAGCCACCACAGTCTACAAACGCGAAGATGCAACTATGTTTTTATTTAAAGGTCGTGGTGTCAATCAGTGTGTAAAATTACCAGTAAAGTTTATGAATAGTAATAATAATTTGTAGGTGGTAATTAATAATTATTTAAAATGATAATAAATATAAACCTGTTGTACTGCTTTTGGTATATGGCGTATACACACATATGGAAATATACAGCTAGCAATATCTAAATCTTTATACAAGCGATGATTAGATTAAATATATAAAATTTACAACAAAAAATTATAAATATTATGAATTTATTTTAAATTCAGTTACACAATATAATTCAAGGTTCATATAACCGTGGTGGTACGTTTGTTGTACGACTTAAAAAAACCTGTTTGTAAATGCGCAATAATAAGGTTTACGAGTTCGTCACATATTTTCTTCTTTTTTTTTACATATAAAAATACACTATTCACGAAAATGAAAATTTTGTTTTTTAAAAAACAAATAATAATAATCAATAAATAACCTCAATAAATAAATTCATAACCAATATATAACAAAAAACTAAATTCATAATAAAAAATCAAAAATGTATCAAAATTATTCTGAAGATAATAATAATAATATCGATTCTAATGATAATGATAATGTTAATAATCAAGACTTTGTTCCTAATAATCACAACAATTACGACAATCAAGCCGCTGGATACCACTACAATAATTATTACATTCATCAAAACTCTGGAGACAATAATTATATTCATCAAAACCCCGGAGACAATATTCACATTCAACAAAACCCTGAAGAGAATAATTTCAGCCATCAAAACAACCAGAACTTTGTTGAAAATAATTACATTGATCAAAACTCTGGAGACGGTAATTTAATTCATCAAATTAATTTCAACAACCAAAACACGTGTATTGTCGATAATAGCTTCGTTGATCAAGGCTTCGCTGGAGTGGTTGGCGGTGCTGGCAGTAATATCACTACAAGCATTAATTATCTGAACAATTGTTTTGACAATAGTTTTATTGGTCAAAATGTTCATCAAAACAATGATCAACTGCCACTACTTATTTACATAGTATTTCAACTTCGAAATATTCAACATTTTCTATATAACAATAACAATAACAGATATTAAACGTTGTTGTTAATGCAATGGTTCATTATTCGTAATAAATAGTAATACAATATCAATTTTTTCAATTTTATTTTTTTCAATTTTTTTATATTTAAACTTTTTTATATTTTACATTTTGTTTGTAAGTCCATTAGACATATAATCAATAATAAACAAAATTTTTTATGAATTCAGTCGAGAAGATTATATAATCTAATGTTATATGATAATTAAATTTATTCAAAGTTATTTAATACAATTATAAATCTTTAAAATAACGCAGCGTTATTTAAATTATACTTTATATATGAAGTTCGCTCATGTATTTGTTGCACCGATATAAATTTATAGAGAATTAATTCTTCAACCAATAATTCAAATGATTTGTTTTAATAATTACCAAAATTTATTTATTCGTCAATTTACTATATTTTCACTTATAACAACTATTCATGTTAATTTGTTATTAATCTGATGATGAGATATTAAAATTTGAGAACTCTTTGTAGTAAATCCTTAACATAAGCTAATTAATTTTGTTCGATGCTTGTCATAAATAGTAAGTTTTTCAAACAAAAAAATAGACTTTGTTGGTAGTTCATTTTTGCTAAATTTTTGATTTTTTTATTAAAAAAAATTAAATAAAAAAATGAATGACCCTTTATTGAATAAATATATTAATAAATAGGGATTAGAACTGGATCGGGTGCATATGGGTCACCCGGGTATCCACAGGCGGAAGAAAAATAATTAGTCTGTCCATAATATTTGTGGGTTTATAAAGTCAACATTTTCTAAACAAGGAAAAACTCCTGAACATTCTGGCCAACGTCATATTGGTGGTTATTTTTGTTCAGTTGTTTAGAAGAATCACGCATAAAACAATCAATAAAGCTTTAGTTGTGATGTTTATTATGTGTGCATTACCTTTCCACCCTGTAGAAAATCCGTTTTTAAAAGCATTAAATTTTGGATATCAACCACCTCAAGAAAAGTGATATAGATGAAAATGGAGATATGGTTAACGTGCAGATTTACAGCAATTAGATGATGAATAGATAAATGAATTCAAATTTTTGTGTTTGTTTTGTTTAATAATTACATTTTAATAAATATTAAATGTTTATAATAATAATAATGTTTTTAAAAATGGGACAATATGAATAGAAAATTGGTCTAACTTCATCGTGATTATGTTGCAACACTATGTATAATATGTAAAGTTACGGGTATGTTGGAACATTTGATATTTGATTACGGAGGACAAGCTTAAGTCCGATCCACTCAATTTATTTTATTGCCACCAATTATTTCGCTAATAATAATAATGGTTATGATAATAATAACAATAACAATAATAACGGTAATATAATTGGAAATTTATTCATAAATACGGATCAATCAATCAATATATTTCAAAATTTACTTTATTACTCCTAGCATCATTAACAAAAATTTTACTTTATTACCAATTCATGTGTTCTCAGGATTATGAAATTATTATAAAACCTACCAAATGACGAGCCGCCAAATATCAACAAGATAGTTCTTTTCGATAAACTGGAAGAACGTCAAGAAACCAGTAATAAAGAAATGAAGACGAATAATCGGACAAAACTTGGAACCAGAAGAAAGGGAAAGATTTGAAAATTCATAATCAATGTTAGGATCATCTGGCAATCAAAGCAATGGGTATTAAAAGGAATTGAAAAGGGTATCGGCCGACAGTTCATCTTTTACTGAGAGAAAAGAGAAACGGACAAGAGAAAAGCAAGGAAGGATCAACTCTGGCTAAGAGAATCGAAAGAACTAAAAAAAAAATTTACAATAAAAAGAAACAATGAAAATTGCGAACAATATAACAATATAACAACAATGTAAAAACTTAGCAAATTTCCTATAGAAAATTTTACTTTAAACCGAAAGAAAATTAGCAAAAGAAGTTCCGACTAAAAGAAATAAGTACATAAAAATGTTAGTTAATAAAATGAAAAACAAAGAAAATAACAACAAAATAATAATAAAATAATCCCGAGAATATTTCAACATAACAATATCCCAATATAAAGGGGCTAAATATTATTATTATTATTATCATCATTATTATTATTTAACAATGTAATCTTGTAGCATTTTATTAATAAAATGGTACTTGCTAGAAAGTTCTGTATTTTTTAATATATGCATGTATGTATACATATGTATATGGTTACAGTCAGAACTAACTTGTTAAGATGATGCTTTTTATAAAACGAATATACGTGATAAACCGATATTTTCACCTATTAAATTTATCTCTATAAGCCAATTTGATTATGGTTTTTTAAGCTAATGATTTTTTTTTGTGAAAACATTGACTTTTGTTTAAAGATTTAGAAAAAACAGGGGAGTTTAGGACCGATTAGGATTAGCACCATTTCCCCCTTCTTCAATGTTAAGAGTGTGTAGATTTTTAATTGATCTTATTCCCTGTAGCTCAAATAGTAGGGTTAAATCTTTATGTCAATCTCAAATGAGAGAGATATGCGATTGGATGAGAAATAAAAACAAGGAAAGTGATGTTGCTTAGATCGCATAAAAACTATGATCTCATTCATACAGACAATTGGTTAACGTGATTATGTTCTTGCATCGACCAATCAGATTTTACGTGACGCAAACTTTGATCATTAAAACTTGCAAAGGCTTTTTAACAAGGGCCAAAATTTATTCTTTGTATTAGCCTTTTCGTCCATTAAAATTCCATTTCATCAATTACTTTTTTCCTCTCTTCTTCACTGAAGATAAATTGCAAGTTCTTTTTTTGTAAAAAAGGATTGACATTTTTGCTTGGTTCATTACCAGAGATTTATTTTGGCATAAGTACATTCCACCCGCCATAATAAACTCATATCTTTTCTAATGCACTTACATCTTACACAGCTCAATTGCAGATAATTATATTGTGCCGGTTGTATAGATTGTATTAATTGTTGTGAATAATTATTTTGTATGGCCAAATAATTCTTAACCGCCAATTCTAATTTGCCCTTGTTAATTTAATATTGATATTTTGAGCCACTGTTGTCAGCTGTAATATATAAAAGATTGATATCTGTTTATAGGATCGACGGAAGTTCAAATTTTGCCTTTTTAGAATCCTCTCGCAAGAGATAAATTGGCTTCCAATGTATTAATGCCAATATTTTGTTATAATGTAATTCATCACCAATTCATCATCAAAAACCTTGGCACCAAGAGCATCATTTGTCCTCTTGACTTCAAATACACCATTTTGTATCTCAAAAATTAAAAAATCAAAAATTCCATCATCAAGATTATAAACCTATAGTCACTTTTATAAGAGTAATAATAGGCACACAATATATGTAAAAATTTACAATTAAGTAGTGTAATAACATTCTCAATTTTTTGCTTAACGCGACATAGACAATTAAATCAAAGCTGAATGCATACCCTAGCAAATTACTTGACTAAATATTAGTAATATGTTAAGACAAGACTATTACTACTGTTAAATTTACCCCGTTATGCCAGCAAGCCTTGGTAATGTTGTCACAATGACCAGATATTCATATAATTACTAAGATTATGCGAAAAAAAACCAAAATTCCTTTCAAAAATAGAAATAAATGTGGCATATTGATCGAGTAGAGTATAGGTAAATAAAGTTGTCCTTTCCATCTATGCCAGGATATCCTGCCCTATAAAAAATTTAGTCAGAAAATGTATGGTATTTCCATACTAGTCGTGTGACATTTCCCTGAGGCTGCTTTTCTATATTAATATGTGAAAATAAATTCGAAATTGATGTCACATAAATTTTTTTAAAATATCTCATTATTTTTATAATAAACTTGAACTTTGTTGTTAAAGTAAAATAAAAGTACTCCATTAAAGCTTTCTAATGAATACTCTTTCATATCGAAAGTTTTTCTCTACATAAATCCACGGTTATTCAAAAACGGTATTACTTTTTCACTTCAAACCTCAGATTATTTCTCAATATCGCTTTAAAAGACTTATAGTAAATGAGAAGGTGTAGAATACTTTAAGGGAGTATTGGTTAATAAGTTTTAGAGAGGTTCACGAAAAACTATTTATAGAAATTTTAATATTCATGAAGAATTTTATGTAGATGGGATTCAGCAAAAACTAAAAGGTATTTTATTAGTGATTGTTTTATATTTCTGACTTTATATGATTAAAGTTTCATTAATGATTATTATGAATATCCATCAATCAGTAGTTGTTATAGCAACATTAAACAATAATATG